CACACACAGACACATGATCTCGCTCCCTGAGCCGCACAAACATGTGATCTCTCTGCCTGATACACACACACAGACACATGATCTCGCTCCCTGAACCACACAAACATGTGATCTCTCTGCCTGATACACACACACAGACACATGATCTCGCTCCCTGAGCCGCACAAACATGTGATCTCTCTGCCTGATACACACACACAGACACATGATCTCGCTCCCTGAGTGGCACAAGCATGTGATCTCACTCCCTCACACACACAGACACTGTTAAGACGCTTGTTCTACCTGGGGATCAGATTTGCCATTCCTGCTGGTTCCCCGAATGGATGTATCTAACAACACCTGCAAGATGCAGGTAGACTTAAAAATGCAGGTCTACACCTAGGCAGATCTGTCAACCAGCCAGTCACAGCTCAGCAATCCCATCAGACATATATATGACTGCGGGTGATCGGTTTTCACCTCAACAGTTGCTGTGGCTTAAGTCTCATAAACTATGTCTCCATTTAAATTATGAGCCCACAAGGCTTGAGTTACATCCAAAATGCCAACATTTATAAATACATTTACAAATACAGCAATGTTATATTATTGCTTTATAATTTGTAGTTTTATTTAGCTTAAGAAACAAAGTACAACAAAAAAAAAAAAAAAAAAAAATTATATCTTAACACTATTCCCCCTACTGGTAGGAGTAGAAATGACATCTGGAACAGAGCTGGATTACTCTGACTGTGCATACGGAATACGTTGAGAGGGAAACACTTAATGTACCAGGAACATTATCTAGCGATAGTGGTACCTGCTGACAGGTTTGGCAGCAGTGCGGCAGAGAGCTGGGTGTGGTCACTGGCCCTGGGAACCTGCACCTTCCTGCTCAGCCTGCTTTGGTAAGTCATGTGCTCTGAAGACATCAGCGAAGTTAAGGTAGTCCTGAAGGAGAACGGGCACTGGCAGCTGGCGTACAAACGTCTTGCTGGCTAGAGACTGGCTGCCCACCACGTTCATCACAGCTAACCGACACAAATGGCACAAAGGAGGCAGAGACTCTGAAAGAAAGAGCAGAAGAAGTGAGCAAGACAATCGATCAGAGAGGGGCACTGTGGCAGCGGTGAGCAAGACATTCGATCAGAGAGGGGCACTGTGGCAGCGGTGAGCAAGACATTCGATCAGAGAGGGGCACTGTGGCAGCGGTGAGCAAGGCATCCAATCAGAGAGGGGCACTGTGGCAGCGGTGAGCAAGGCATCCAATCAGAGGCGGTGCAAAGCTGCCATAGTGCCAACTCACTATACTACAAAATGACATTACATGGAAAGTCATCACAGGTTGATTTACTGACTGAGATGTGGGCGTGGCTTCCAGGTGGACTCCACCCGTCGCTGGTATAGACTGGCCAACAGTGATGGAGGCAGCAGACTCCAGTTGGTGAACTCCAGCAGGAAGTTAATAACATCACTTTCTACCTTCTCAAATCTGTCAGCAAGACCATCAGGACACAGGGGTACTTAGAGAGCTGGCTGGAGCAAACCCAGGGTAAATCTACAGGCAGGGGTAGGAGTCTAGGGGTACTCACAGCACAGGATGTAGAAGCAGTGAAGGTTGCAGTCCAGCCTGAAGCAGCAGGGGCAGCCAGTCCAGTGCACTGGAGGCTTGCTCCTTCTCCAGGCTACAAGCCAGCATCTCTTCCAGGTGGCCTCCAGAAGGCAGGCCTGTATGGTCCAGCAGAAGCGCTAGTACAGAGTGCTGGCGGAGCCGCAGACACTTGCTGTAAAGCCCCCCATCCACGTGGGCCCCTGCCTTCAGGAGAAGCCGCACCAGGGAGTGGACCTGACTTGCCCTGTTCCAGGGAAAGCAGAGACACAGGAAGCGTCTAACGATACAGTAGGGACAGGGAAGGAACCAAGCAAAGCATTCGCTCATTCTGAGACAGCAGATGCATCAAAGGGACCAACTATGACATGGAGAGAGAACAAATTAATGATATCATCTCAGCTGCTCACTGTCTCACTTTAGTTTTTCCTTTTTGCATCTGAATTTTTCCAGCTGTAGATACTCAGAAACCTGCTTTGGAGATACTGCACAGACCAGGTCCCACAGTTGTTCTATGCTGAGTAGATACCTTTCAAACTGAGAGCACAGGAATGTTGCCAATGGCGATGGGAACCCAAAGGCCTGGCAGTCCTGGGCATCAGGGCTGTACCCAGCCCTCAGCAGCAGCTGAAGGCTGTCTACCTGGCCACCTAAAACCGCAGAGTACACTGGGCTGACTTTCCCAACCTGGCGGTCACATGCGCGGTCTGTCAGGGGCAGAAGACGCTCCAGGATGCTGGGAGGGAAGAGGAGTGACACCAGAATGCTTATACACTGAACACCGAAAGAGGAGTGACACCAGAATGCTTATACACTGAACACCGAAAGAGGAGTGACACCAGAATGCTTATACACTGAAC